TGAGAAGTTCACCCAGGCCCCGGAGTAGGGAATCTTTAGTGGAACTCATCACTTCAACCTGGATAGATACCTACATGGTCTCTCTGTTTCCCCACCCTTAATCTGGTTCTTATTATCTGGTTATAATAAACTACATCAATTTAAATCACAATGATTTTATGGAATATTTTGATATTTTTCAAGTATCTCCTTATTCTTTTGTGTCCCTTTCAAAAGCATGCTCAGACATTTATGTTGTCTTATGAAACTTCAATTCTGCATTACATTGGATTCTGTACAAGTGCATATTGTTTATATTTCATGGGTTTGGTTTAATTGCTGCATAAAATCTACTAAAAGATTACATTATAACTTGCCACCAAAATGAAAGAGTTATTGTTGAGTGCAAAAATTCGTGAAAACTGCAGTGGGATGCAAATTTGATATTGGCAAAGGAGATTTTTGTCATCAGAAGAATGACTTCATTTTCCTCTTTCCTTGCAATACAACAATCAAGAGGTTTATAGAACCAAAAAAGAAAGCTTAGCTCCACTCTTCCTACACTCACCACACAAACAAAGTCTATTAGATTTTGCTTCTAAGATACATGCAAAAGGGTATATAGTGCAATGGAAAATGTGCCGAATCTCTTGAAACAGATCAAAAGAAATTCCAAAGCAATGAGTGGCTGGTATCATCAATTTATGTGTTTTCAAGGACTATCATTAAGATGTCAAACACCTACTTATGAAAACTCCTCGCTGACATTGAGCGGAAGACGATAGTGAAGTACTCTTCAAAAAACAGTGCTTCACCAGCACTCCTAAAAGCCGGAGGATAATATCATACATCAAATGCAGACATCAGTGGCTGAGTTTAAAAAATGATAGTGATGAGTTGGACTTTGTGAAGTTGCCTTATGAGTACCGTAGGATGCTTACTTCTCTTCTACTTTTCCTTCTAAGTGTGTACACAATGATGTCACAGATGGAAACTGGCCCAGACTTAGATCATTCACAGAGCAGCAGTATGCTTGCCACTATAATTGGCCAGTAAGTGTGAGGCTCCGGACCTTATTCACTCCCTGGTGAAACTGTTTCCTTCACAGGCTAGATCCTGAAAGCTGTCCTCTGAGCTCAGGGAGAACCAGCCTGCAAGGGAAGTCAAAACATGGATCAAGGGAAGAGAAGCAAAGGAACCTGGGTCTCTGATGACATGACCAAACCACAGGACCACCTTAAGGGAATTTGTTGTTGGTGTTTGTTATGTATAAACAGAAGCTTCTCTCTGAGTACAGGCTCAGTCATTGTCAATGGATGGAATCAGTGATGGTGCAAAGGCCCCTCCATGTAGTTCTTCTTCCTAAATATGGAGACGGTATGATTTCACCTTTTGGGCACAGTCTGTCATTGATTCATCTTCTGAATCATCGGTGTCTACGAGAGCTTTAAGAGAAGAATCTAGGGGCTGGAGCAATAGCACAGTGGGTAGGGCATTTGCCTTGCATGCGGCCAACCCGGGTTCGATTCCCAGTATCCCATATGGTCCCCCAAGCACTGCCAGCGATAAATCCTGAGTGCAGAGCCAGGAGTAACCCCTGTGCATCACCAGGTGTGACCCAAAAAGCAACAAAAAAAATCTAAAAAGAGAGGAATCTAACAGCTTTGCTGTGAGGCTCACAGTAGATGTGGATCATCTTTATATTCTTCATATCCTGAAAAATAAGAATGGAGCACGGTGATACTGACCAGGAGGAAGATATTTGGAGCTGACCTGTTCACTTTTATTTCTGTGATGATTTATACACATTTCTAGAGTTTTCCCCCACCTCTTCCCATTTCCCTTCTCCATTATGTTGCTGTTATTGTCATTCTCAATGTGTGGGAGATGTACTTGTTGCAATCCAGGCCATAGTACTTGGATTGTGGCAGTGTTGGCCCTGCACATGGGAAACCAGGAGTCACACTCAATGCTGTAGGAATGATTGCCGGGATTTAACTTGAGGCATGTCCCCCATGAGCCACATTCCCAGACTCCATTTTTTTTCTTTTTGGGTCACACCCGACAATGCACAGGGGTCACTCCTGGCTCTGCGCTCAGGAATTACCCCTGGCGGTGCTCAGGGGACCATATGGGATGCTGGGAATCGAACCCGCGTTGGCCGCATGCAAGGCAAACGCCCTACCCGCTGTGTTATCGCTCCAGGCCCCTGGACTCCATATTTCTAAACCTTGGTTTGCCTTTTACAGATCCATAGAATGGGAATCTAGGTCTGAGGTAATGATCGGGCAGATTTACTTTATTTTCACTACTATGCCAGTTGCTTCACAGACTTTTGCATAGAAGACCACTGCAGAACCATCAGTTTTTAAAAAATCATTATAGGGGTCAGAGCAGGTAGGGCGTTCACCTTGGACACCACCAACCCAGTTTTGATCCCCGACATCCCATATGATCCCTGGAGCACCACCTGGTATAATTCCTGAGCACAGAACCAGGAGTAAACCCTGAAGTGGGAAGGAAGGGGGTATTCAGAGTCATCCCTGAGTATCACTGGATGAGGCCCAAAAACAAACAAACAAAAAGTTATGGAGTCACAGGGATGTGTCTCAAGGTCTGTGTGATCCCTGGGTTCTAGCCCATGGCCCCACAAGCATCACTAGCTGTCATTCTGGTAGCCCTTAAATACCACCATGTTAGCGCCTAGCTGGTCCTTAAGCACTGCTAGGCTCCCAAGCACTGCTGGAAGTATCCCTCTCCCCCCAAAAAACCATGTTATAGGGCCCGAGAGATATGGCTCAGAGGAAAAGTTCTGCCTTACAGGCATGAGGATCTGGGTTCTTTCCTAGGCATCACACCCCCTCCATCACCACTTTACCAAGTGTGTTCCCCAATGGCACTACCACTGAGCTCCAAAGGTTACAAATGCGCAACTCCTGGCATGTCATGTCACAACCCAGTGTGTGATGACACCTACATCAGTTATTTACACCTCCTTAGGAACTCCTCCGCAATATGGCAACAATGATAACACCAAAGGGGAAGGGAAGGGGACAGGCAATTATCTCCTGGCTTGGTTCACTGTTGAGTGAACAGTGGCACCTGTTGAAGTCAGCTAGGTGGAGAATCACAAGCCTTTGCCATCCCCTGCCTGCTGACTGGGTCTGCTGCCCATCTGTGGAATTCATGGAGGACAGAGAAGGTACCAGGAAGGTGACATCTAAATTGTCCATGTTGTTACAAAGCTTCAAGTCCCTGTTAATTTCTGCCCTGTTAAATTGGAAATTCGGGCGATATTATTATCTTTACAGAACTACTTTCCTCTTTAGAACTTGGCAGATTGGTGTTTTTGTTTTTAGTTCTTTAGCTTTGTAAGTTCTCCTGTGCCTACTTGCCCATAACTGATTCTTCAGGTTTGATGACTGCTTTTTTAATGAGTTCAGCCTGTGCCTTCTGGACAAATGGGGAGTGCGAAGTGTGTTAATTAGCTATCAGATCTAGCCTGGCTTTTGAAGTCTTACTCTTTGGAATGTTACAGAAGTGTAAATATATTCATGGTTGTTTGCAATCTCTATTTATATCACAACTGAAACCTCAGGGAGCCGCCCACCACGATTCCGCTACTCCTGACCCCCAAATGATGCTGTCATTAGTGGTGGGTCTCTGGGGAACCATGCACAGAGGACATGGCTTCCTGTTTTGTTCAAAGTGGCTCTTTGTCCAGAAACCTTCCTTTTCGTTGGCCAAACAGTCTTTTTCAGGATGTGGAGATTAGAATAACCCTCTCCCCTGGGGGGCAAACTGTCTTCTTCATTTTGTTTTGTTTGGGGACCTCACCTGGCAGTATTAAGGGCTCTGTGCTCAGGGATTACTCCGATTGGGGACTCAGGGGTCTCTATGTGGTGCAGGAAATGGAACTCTGGTCAGTTGTGTCCAAGGCAAATGACCCATCTCCTGTACTATTTGTCTGATCCCCATACTGTCTTAAGACCACACAAATACTATACCAATTTATACCAAATATTATCAGGCTTTCAAATCAAAAACCTAATTCTGCAAGAGAAGCCTGCCTTGTCACTCACTAGGATCTCTCTCTCTTTTCACATCTTGATGCTGGCCCTGGGTCAAGCTCAGGGGTTCCAGAATTGAAGCAAAACTCTTCAAAGCCTGGTTTAGAAAGAGAGCCTTTGAATAGATCGTGTAGGTTCCATACTGCTTACCAGAAAGCTGAAGCCTGCCTGCAGGGTCTGGGAAGTGTATGGGAGAAGTCTTTGGACTTTGCACCCAGCAGGCAGTTTAGGTTAACTGAGAAGGGCCTTACTCTGAGACTGATCAAACGACTCTATCGATATTTTCAGTGTTGGATTGGCGATCCACTCTTTCTGTCTCTAAAAACGCGTTCTCCCAATTGCCTACTTGCCTTAAAGAGTGTGGACTGTTGAGAAATGACCGAGTGGATAAATGGGCAAACAGGCAAGAGACAGATCCATAGCCGTCAAAATATTTAGTCAGGAGCCTCGTCTCCTTTTGCTCAACAGCCAGCAACTGAGGGGAGGCCAAAAAGAATTGCGGGATGGGAATTCTACGGGGGAAAAAAAAAAAAAATATATATATATATATGTGTGTGTGTGTGTGTTAAATATATATATATACATATATATATATATATTAGTAATTTCGGTGACAGGCAATTTCAGATTTGCTCTTAAAACCAGAAGAAGCTAATGCAAACGGGTCCAAAAGATTCCGAACCCCCGTCCCTTAGGAGAGCAGAAATCTGCTGCCGGGCAGAAAGTCCGGGAGGCGATCAGACCCGATTTGGATCCAGATTCCATCCCCAGGCTTCACCCCCACCAAGTGGGCGCCGCTGGACCAAGGCAGCGAACTCACCCGCCCGGGAGCGCAGCCGGATCCCGGCTGCGGGCGGAGCCAGGATGAGTCACGCGGGAGCGGCGGGGCGTGGTCACGTGGGAGTGGCGGGGCGTGGTCACGTGGGAGTGGCGCGGCGGGGCGGGGCCGGCACCGACCTGCGCAGGCGCGGGGCCAGCCCGCCGGGGGACCCTGGTGGCGTGGGAGGAGTTGGGGGCCCCGTGATCCCCGGGGCGCGTGGGGCCCGGGCCGAGGCGCACGGGAAGGGACGCCCCCGGCCGTCCGCGCGCTCCGCGAGGCCCCGACTTCTGCGCAGGCGGCGCGCCAGGTGAGCAGAAGGAGGCCGGGGCGCGGGTGCCGGAGACGTCGGGTCGGGTCGAGACGGGTCGGGTCGAGGACCAGGACCCGCGCGCATCTCCCGGCCAGCCCTCCGCGGCCGCGCACCCGCTTTGCAGCCTTCACGAAGCCCCCGCGTCCACGCTTCGCGCCCCGACCTGGCAGGAGCCGCAGTTGGACCCGCAGGAGCTGCGGGCGATCCCTCGTGTGCCCCACCCCCACCCCCGGGGTATCCCCAAACACTGAACCCAGGCCTTTGCCCTGTGCCCCCTCGGGTTGGGCCCGGGTGCTCCCCAGGGGAGGCGCGCGGAGTTGCCGGGCGCCAAGGGTCCGGCACGAGTGAGGAGTGCTCGCCTCGTGCTTCCCAGGACCACTGTTTGCAGCTTGGTGGAGAACTCTAGCGGCACCGCGTTCCCGCCTTTCCACATGTCCCAAACTCTGGCATCCTGGGCAAGAGCCTGAGCACCATGGAAAGACCAACAGCACGAAGCGTGCCGGTTGCAGGGCACGAGGTGAAGGAGATGGGCAGGCGGGGGAAGGCTGTGGAGGGAGACAGCACCCCCGGGGGTCCACAATCTGGGTTGACAATCAAGCTTTTCCAGCCTTCCCAGACTGCTCCTTGCTGTAGTTCTGCAGCCTCAGTTTTGTCTTTGTTTCTAGTGGAATTTATTTTCCTTTGAGTTTGGCAAATGATTGAAGAAAGGAAAACGATTGTTTAGAATTAGTTTTGAAACACGTAAACTGTGGGAAGTCGCCAGTTCTAATAAAGACCCCAAGGTCCCCAACAGTCCCCTGGGTAAAAAACAAGATTAGCTTAATTTAGGCAGTGGGGACTGCAAACCTCAAATGGTGAGTGCAGTGAAGCAGTAAACATCCTGCTAGAATACAATGGGAGAGTGCCATGACTTCAGTGCTCTGCTTTAAAGGTAGTAGCCGTTTGCTAATCACCCCATGGTCACCCCAATGGGTCAATATCCTAACCTTTGTTCTTGCACAGTCTGGGAGGGAGCCAGGAGGAAGGTGGTGCCAAAATTGAGACGAAACCACCTCTTCTGGCTGCTGTTGATGCTGCCTGGGCAAGTCACTGTCTCTTTCTCTGCCATGAGGTGCAGGTTAGATTGGTTTTGTGGTGGTGGTCTCCCACAATTGACCAGGAGTCTGCTGGTACTGTTTCAGCTGCTCTTACTCAGACCCAATAGGGAAACTAAGAATTGGGATCCACATGCACTCTGTAAGATTCCCTGAGTTGATATACATCAGCTTTCTAGGGATGATTGTTGGTTCATCTGGAAACACAGAATCTCATCTTTGTAAGGTGGTTTAGTTTACAAAGCACATGGTAAAGGTAAAGGCCCTCCCGTTGATCGTCGATTTGCTCGAGCGGGCCCAGTAACGTCTCCATTGGAGACTTTGTTGTTACTGTGTCTGGCATATCGAATACTCTCGGTAGCTTGCCGGGCTCTCCGAGAGGGGCGGAGGAATTGAACTCGGGTCGGCCATGTTGGCCGCTTGTAAGGCGAACGCCCTACCCGCTGTGCTATCACTCCAGTCCATGCTATACATTTAATCCTCTGATGCTTACTTCTCTAGAAGGTAATTTCGGAATCGTTGCCATTGTACTGGTGCAGAAGTGCTACCTCGTCTAGATTCTTGGAGCTTGTAGGAGAATTTGCTTTGTGCTTGAGTTCCTCTTTTTTGTGGGGGAGGGCACACCCAGCCCTGCTCAGGGGGTCACTGGTGGTGGTGCTAGGGAATTAAAACCCAGGTCGGCTGCTGGCAGGGCAAGTCCCTTACCCACTGGACTCTTCTCCAGCCTCTTGAGTCAGTCCCAATCTGTCTTTTCCCCTGTCTCCCTCCTTTAAAAGGACATGCCACTTAGTTGAGATCTTATTCCCGCCTCCCAAGGGGCTAAGATGCTATTGATTATAGTCTTAGAAGTGTTGGTGTCACTTAGAAGATGCTCAGAAAGTTTATACAGGACTGGAATTCCAGGGCTTGAGAAATTCCAGACTCTGTGTAACTCTCCCAGAGATCAGTCAGCGTTTGCCTACTGGGAACTAACTTGCCTCCTGAAATGTGGAGCAAAGAGGCTCCCAAGTCGGCCGTTGCCAAAACTTGTGTAGCAAGAGCTGTGCAGAGCCAGCGTGAGCTCGGTGGCCTCGGGCCCAGAAAGGTGCCCTTTGCCTCCTCTGCCACTTCTAGTGCATAGGGCAGTGCGGAAGCCAATAGAGGGGCAACGTGGAGTCAGCGCTGCAGAACCCGCAAGGGCCCTGGGGAAGCAGCTCATGGCTGACGTGCAGGGAATGAGTGAATGAATGAATGATTGTGAGCCCTGCCGAGGGCCGCATGGAGCCTTTCACTTCTGTGGGGCCTGGCAGCCTTCCACCTGGCTCTCCTCCGCTTCCTGGCAGCCCGTCTCCGTGTCCCAGTAGCCGAGAGATGAGGTGGGGCCTGCCCTCAGAACTGAGCAGCCTGGTCCTGGTGCCCGGTGTGCCTTGTGGCATTGCCCCTTTGATGTCCTGGCCATCCTCACTGAACTCAGGCGTGGGATCCCGAGCTCAGCGGGCAGCCCTTCAGCCGGTGAACAGAACGGACTATTGTGGGGGCCTGTGGGATCGCCCTTCAGAGGAAAGAACCTCCCAAAGCCTCCTTCCCCCTCCCCAGAGGCTCAGAATGTCCTCTCATTCCGCTTTCAGCAGCCAACGGTCCTGAACTTTCTGAATCTGGCACCCTCACGGGCAAAAGGGCCAGGGCCAGGTGGGCATTCCCCCCCGAAACAGAGCAGGACAGGGATGGCTAAGGCTGGTAGGTGAGAGGGGCTGGAGTGATAGCACAGTGGGTAGGGCATTTGCTTTGCACACAGCCAACCCAGGTTCGAATCCCAGCATCCCATATGGTCCCCTGAGCACTGCCAGGAGTAATTCCTGACCCAAAAAGCAAAAAAGAAAAAAAAAAAAGGCTGGTAGGTAAGAGCTGTTGCATGGGGTGGGAGCCGTGGTGACTGATGGCTGGGCTGGATGCGGGTATCAGCTCCTGCTCATGGGGCCTGGGGACCCATATGGCCTGGTTCCAGTGCTGGCATTTTCAAACCTCTTCCTGTTGCCCAGGACATGGTTTCTACGGGGAGGAGAGAGGCAGGAGCACTGCTCAGCTGAGCATATACTTTCTCAAGGCCACTCGAGGAAGCGGGTGGGTCGGCTGTGGTGTTCTGCATGAAAAGCACTTGGGCCGGGGACGGGTCACGTCTCTCACCACCAGCTCCCCAGGCCCTGCTCATGAGTAGTTTTCCTTCCAGCCTTTCTCAGGCCAGGTACTAGACTTTCTCAACCCCGAACCCCCCCTCTCCAAGTTCACCTCCAAGCACCCACTGTCCTCGCCTCTATCCGAATGTCCATAACCACAGACTGGGGGGTGGGAGTCCCGGCACAGCCACTGAGCAGCATCTCGGTGTGACCTTGAATCCTTCCCTGGTCCCTTCTCGGGAGGCTTTACAGGCCTCTTTTCCTCCCCGGAGGAGGGCAGGGGTTAGAGTTTGAGCGAAGGGGGTGGGGGGAGCAGCAGGAGGTGGTGATGGAGGAAGGGGAAGCAGCCCTTCTGGCCTCCGTTCTCCGGGTAGCCGGGCCGGGAGGCTCACAGTACCCCGTGCTCTTCGTCATCTCCTTTGTCCCGCTGCCTCAGGCCAGTTCATTCTGAGGAGGGAGGATTCCCTGGGTGGGACCGGACTGGGCTGGGCACCCCCGTGGTTAGAGTAGCACGCTGTCTGCCTGTACTTGTTTGAGGCGTGAATGAACCCACCCTGCACTGGGGCTGGGTTTCATTCCCACTTTAGCAATTCCTGCCCAGAGGCAGCTCCTGAACTGGCAAGAATGAAGGGTGGGGAGGAGAGACGGAAGAGGGGGGAGAGAGCAAGAGGAGCCGAGCAGGACGTCCAACATCTGTAGCGGGCGCCCTCCGGCTTCCTAGACATCAGATCTTGTGGGTGATTGTTACCGTTTCCCATGTCTTTGAATGTCAAGAGTGCAAACGGCCGCTCAGACTCTTTCAGGTCCTTTGTCAGAACAGACCCGGAGACTCGGTCCAGAGCGAGTGTCTTCATAGCTCATGAGAGACTATCCTGTGAGTGGGCAGTGGAGCAAAGGCCAGCCATGCCTCAGACTTGGGGCTCCGTGCTTCCCCTCGGGGAGTGCGGTGCTCGGGCCTTGTGGGGACTGTCCCAGTGGTGCTTTGGGGCCTCTCGGACTGCACCCAGTGTTGCTCAGAGGGACGTCGGGTGCAGAGGATTGAACCTAAGCCAGGCGCAGGCTTGACTGAGCCATCTCCTGGCCCCGTGGCTCCTTGGTCTGGCCTGGAGGCCCGAAGCTCATGTCATTCGCTGAGCTGGGGGACTCTGGAAAGAGGCTGACCCGAGTGGGGGTGAGCCCTGGGCCTGGCGCAGCAGAGATGCCCCCGAGAGGGCCGGGTGTAGGCTGTGGGTCAGGGCCTGGTTCGGGAGAGCCCAGTGGGCCCGAGGACTGAGGAGAGATGTCCCCCCACTTTGGGGGCCGAAGGGAGAAAAGACAGTTGGAAAAAAGGATCCCTGGGGAGGGGTTGTGAGTGGCAGGGCCGCCTTCCGGGCGTTGGAGTGCAGCCTGACCACAGAGCCCGTGGGGAGGAAGGGACTTTTTTCCGTGGCGCCCTTTGGGTTGGTATGCGTGACCCATGCGTGTGTGGCGGTGGCGGCACCTGACAGATGTTATAATCTGCATGACTGCAGATGACTCAAACTTGGCTTCGTTTTGTTTTTTTTTCCTTCGGAAGGGCTGTGGCAAGGCGGGGGGCTGGCGGGAGGGGTGGGGGTTGAGGGGAGGCGGGGGGGGGGTGGTCTTGGCCACTTTCCATTTTGATGTTTTCTGGAGATGGATTATTGGCAGCTGGAGTGGCCCCGGGGTTTTCTGGGTGGCCGGGTCCTGCCTACAGGGCGAGGCGGCAGCGGCCATAGGCAGGACTCCAGAGCCCCGCCTCCCGCCTGCCGTCCCCTGCACCCCAAGGCTGCCCGCTCACCCCTGGACTGGACTTTTTGTCAGCAGCGGCGGAGGTGGGGACGCTGCAGATGGTGAGTTCCTCTCCTTCCCTCCCTGCCCCCCCCACCCCGCACATTGGGGGACAGAATGGTGGGGAGGGGGCAGGTTTGGGGAGCTGCTCATCAGGGTCCAGTCACCGTGAGGCAGCAGCGGTGTGCAGTGTCCAGAGTGCAGTCAGCGCTTTCCAGAGGCTGTAAAGGCGGGGTGCATCTCCGGAGCCTTAGTGATCGCCTTCGTCCTACCCCTTCTTTGGGGGACTGGAGGGAGAAGGAGGCCTGGTGAGGGGTGGCCCCATCCAGTTTGGCCTCGGGAGCCCTGCTGGGCCCCTCTCCCCAGTGCTCTTCCCAGACCCTGCTGCCTGCCCTTGCGCCCGCCCGCGCTCTGAGCCGCCCCAGCTGTTCTTGCTTGAGGGTTTCCGGTGCTTCACCTTCCGTGGGGGAGTTCGCATGGGAAAGGATAAGTCCCACGGTGCAGGGTGGGGGGTGGGGGGCGCACAGGGGTCCAAGTCCTGCGTCTGGGTCACCTGGGGGCTGGCTGGACTCTCCGCAGCCTTGCTGTTAGCTTCCAGAGAAGCCGACCCCGCTCCCGGCTGGAAGGGCAGGACAGGGAACAGACATCTGCCGGAGAGTAAATTTCCTCTGGAGGAGGCTGGGTTGGAAGGGACTTGCTGACTGGGGTGGGGGAGAAAGCAAAATGCTCTTTGGGCGTTCTAAGGCCAGAGGGATCCTGTCCTTAGTCCCCGGCAACCCCGGACGAATGTGCAGTCGGGTAGCTGCTCTGACTGTAGGCAGCCCCCAGGTGGGCCCCCTGGGGATCAGGGTGCCTGGGGCTCAGTAAGCCTGAGTGTAGTGTTGAGTGACAGAAGGGCCACGGGCAGCGAGTGCTCTGAGCCAACCCTGACGTGGGGTCTCCCTCTGAGCCCCTGTGGAAATGCATGTCCCACTGAGATAGTAGTGGTCCCTTGCCCCGTTCCCTAGGGTCCCATTGCTGTGACTCAGGGTTCGGAGCCAGCTTTGGCGGGAAGTGTCAGGGGCACTGGGATGGGGTTGGCCTTGGCATTTAGCAGGGCTTGACTTGAGGCTGGGCCCTCAGACCAGTGTCCAGGGGCCAGTGTTGCCCGCCTCCCACCCGCAGAGAGTCGAGATCCCACAGGGAGTAGAATGTCCATGGGGAGGCCTGCCTCACCCCCGTCGCTGGGAAGGCCCTCATATCTCAGGGCTGCAGTAGTGACCTCCGCCCTCAGACAAAGGGGTGATTCTCTGGCCACTCTCTCTGGGTCGTGGCCAGACAAGGGCGGGGGTGGGATGGGTGAACAATGCGGCGGGGGGTGGGGGCATTTAAAACCCACATTTGGTGCTCCAGCTCCTAGAGGAAAGAGACTGCGGGACTGGGCGTTCTGGGATGGGGCATTGGCATTCTCAGAGGGCCATCAGCACCGATACCGCCCCCTGCTCCCAGGTGATCCCGCTGGGCCTAATCTACCCTCCCCATCCTGTGCAGCACCCCTTCCTGAGTCCTTTGACCTGTTCCTCTGGGTGCGTCCATGGCTGCTCAGACCAGATAGAGCGGACTCTCGCCTCTGTCCTCCCGGCAAGCCCACATTTGTCCCTTGCCGGGTGTCTCACTTGTACCCTTGGCTTGATTATCTTTGTACTAAGCCTCTGTCTCCTTAATGGTGGGGCATCACCACCAATTCCTCCCTCCTCTACCCCCCCCCCCCACACACACATTGCCATGTCTGTATTGAACACGTCAGTGCTAAGTACCTGTTTGGAAATTCATATTGTATCCAGTTGTATCGTAGTCCCTTGTCCTCATGAACACACAGGAGAGGGGTTGTGAGTGGACAGTGGGGAGATGGATGTGGGGGCCTGGAGGGAGAGCCGACTGCAGGGGCCCTTGGGCTCACTGGAAGGCACAGACGTGTTACCAGAGTTGAAGCAGCAATTGCTGGGGGGGGGGGGGGGTTGGGGGTGGTGGCGCTGTATGCCGGCCTCTGCGCGCAGACACAGGAGGAGCGTCGAGCCTGCCGTGAGAGACCACGCCGTGTGCCGTGTGCTCCTCACACATGCACACGTGCCATGAGGCCAGGGAACTTTCCCCGGTGCATCAAGGCCCTGCGGTAGTTCGAGAGTGTGGAGGGGGCTTGCTGTTTACAGAGTGGGAGAGAGCTGTGGTTTCCCGAGTGGTTGGGTGAGCTGTCATCCTGTAATGTGTAACTTTGCCACGTAAAAGAGCTGGAAGCGGCCCGTGGAAGGCCCCCTCGTGCTGAGTCTTGCCTCAGCGTCTCCACCGTTCAGCTCTGTCCCTCGTCTGGAGAGCCACCATGTGCCACCAGGTCCGGGTGGGAGGGATTCAGGGACTGCTGAGCAACAGCCATGGGAGAGAAGAGGGGAGAGGGGGTACAGGTCGGCATGCAGAGCGCGGGCAAAGGGCCCTGGGGACAATCTGGGCACCGGGCCAAGGTGGATGACCGCACACTTCTTAGCAGGTAGAAGCATGGGTGGGCGGGACTTCCGGAAAGAGTCCTGGAAACTGAGTCTGAAGGGACCAAAGGAGCAGGGTTGGGTGTTGGGGCAGGGCTTCTCTGCCCGCTCGCACCAGTGCCTCCCCCTGCCCCCAGGAGGAGCAGCGGCTCCCCCTCCGGCCCTCCTTCTGTGGCTCTGTAGCATCACCAGACCACGCTCTCAAGCCGTGATCGATCATAGTGCCTGTTACGCTTCCTCCGTTTGGAGGTGAAGCCGGAGGTTGCGGCTTTCTTCCTGGGACCAGCCTGCCAGTCTGAGGCCACATTTGAGCGGTGGGATTATAAGGCGTTCCGCTTTCCCGGCCCAAGTCCCTCAACCCAGCGCACCCCAGCAGCACCTCTCCCGCCCCCCAACGCCCCACCTCCCCCTTTCCCTGTCCCTTTGCCCTGGTGTACAGATGCCAGCGTTGCAATGCCGTTTTTTATCTGGTCACGCCCATCCACGGAGGCTCTCCTTTCCTTTGATTTCTTTTCTATTTGGGGGTGGAGGTGGAGAGTTTGGGTCACACCGAAGAGTGCTCGGGGCTGACTCCTGGCTCTGCATTCATGGGTCACTCTTGACGGAGCTTAGGAGACCATATTGGTGCCTTGGATGATACTTTGGTTGGTTGTGTGCAAGGCTAGTGCCTTAACCCTTGCTCAGTCTCCCTGACCCTCCTATATTTTTCTCAGGTCAGATCTGAACTTTGGGAGGAGACAAATCTAGCCTAAATTTGTCTAGTCTTTTTTTCTCTCCCTAAAGTTCAGGCCATATCATCACTCCTGCCCCCATCTCTGCATCTCCTACACTCCCTTTGCCACGACTGGCAGGTTGCCAGACCTTTGCTTAATCCTTCTGGAGACATCCTTTCCCCTGACAAGTTTTCGGGGGAGAGGTGAGTCTGTGGGTAGTGGGACAGAGTTAGATAGGACACGCATATCCTCACTCACACAGACACCCCCACCCACTCATGCACACAGACAGTCACGTAGACACATACACAGGTACCTCCCCCTCTTCACAGAGACACACACAGACATCCACACTCACATAGACACACAGACATTTACGAATACTCACACGAACACACGGACAGCCATACCTACTCACACACACACACACACACACACACACACACTGACAGGGACAAACATTGTCAGGTGTCCACACCCACTCATATAGATACACACGGACAAACTTCCGCACCCACTCATGTAGACACACACAGATACTGACTCAGACACACGCACTGAGACATCCACCCCCACTCTCATCCACACAGACACACATACTCACATAGACCCGTGCACGGCATTTTCTCCGCACACGGAATCACACCGGTGTTCAGCGAGGAAGACCCCAGGTTCCAAGAAGGAAGAAAGAGCAACAGAACAATGAGCGGTGTTCTAAGAACTCCGCCAGCACAGGAGAGAAAGCCGCCCCTTCCCCAGAGAGACAGTAGCTAAGACCTGCACTGCGAAGGGGATGTATTGACCAGGAAGGGAAGAGGAAGTAGCTGGCCCCCAGGGGACATCATGGACAGCCACTTCAGATCCGAGAGGTCATATCCATGGATTTGGGAGAGGGACCAGCCAATGAAATACCTGCGAGAGCTGGTTTTTAATCACCGCTCGCTGGTAAGCTCTGAGGCGGAACTGCAAGTGTGTCCGTCTCCGCCGGGCTCCTGGTGCGCCATGCTCCTTGCAGGTTTAGTGGCCCTTGTCCAGTTCCCCCTCTGACGCTGCTGCCCCTCCTCCTTTGCCTCCAGCCTGCTGGGCGGCTGCCCGGTCTCCGCCTGTGCCTGGGAGATCAGATTCCAGCCTTCTCGTGGGAGCAGTAACATCTTCTTCCTTCCTCCCAGTCTCCAGAAATGTCTTTTCTCCAGGATCCCAGTTTCTTCACCATGGGGATGTGGTCCATTGGTGCCGGGGCCCTGGGGGCTGCTGCCTTGGCCTTGCTCCTGGCCAACACCGACGTGTTCCTAGCCAAGCCTCAGAAAGCCAGCCTGGAGTATCTGGAGGACATAGACCTGAAAACAATAGAAATGAGTAAGTGGTGAGCCCCTCTGCACCCAGTACTTTTCCAAGCTTCTGGATGCTGGAGGCTTTTTTTCTTTTTCTTTCCTTTCCAAAATAACTCTTACTGGGGGGGCTGGTGGGGGTGGGGGAAACAACAGTATAACAGCATTAGGAAAATTTTAATAGCACTTTAAAAGTTACTGATGATTCCTTCACTGGGTAAACATCATGGTTTTTTATTTTCCGCACATCCCTCCTGATGCATGCATATTATCACGTAGTTGTGATTTTGGTATACAGGGTGTTTTTTCCTTTTTGCATCTCCTCGGAAGCATTGTTCACTTTCTGCTGTTGTCTCTTCTACCTGTGATAATAATGCAACGTTTAGCAATAGTTGCCCTAAAGCAGCCATTCTAGAGTATTCTGAGAATATTCAGGCTCCTGGATGGTCACCAGAGCAGGGAGGGGAAGGGGAGAAAGAGAAAACATGACAAATAATTCTAAGAAAGATCCTGTCTAATGCTGCATTTCTGATGCCCAGCACAAAAAAATTGCTGAGTGAAAGCGGTGTCTTGGTTGGCCCTGACTGAAACGGGCTTGACCAGCCCTCCCTGGGGTTCTGCTGCAGCACTTGGGGAAGCGCAGAATTGCCATCTTAAAAGGGACCTGTGTGTCCACCTCTTAGGGACCCTACGTGGAGCCCTTGGCGGAGTGCAGAAAGTCACACCTGAACTCGTGTCCATGGTGGCGCAGCCTGGTAAGCTGTCGGCCATGCTGATCGTGGTAGTGGCGTGAGCGTTTGTCAGCATTTGAGTGGTCCCCAGGTTGCCCCCCCAGAGGGAAGCACTGGTTGCCCACCCAGTAAGAGAGGGGCCTGCCAGGGAACTCTGGGAAACCGGATGTGCGACGCATCACGTAGTGCTCAGGGACCAGACCGTGCAAGAGCTGCCGAACTTTGCTCGGCTCCGAGTTTGCCAGTCCCAGTGAACGGGGGGATTCTCGTCCCACCCACACACACCCCTCTTTTTTATATAACGGCCCAGGAGGATGTGGATTTCTCCGAGCAATGCTGAGATAATCGTGGCTCGTTCTATTGAGGCCTCACTAGCCGTGTGTATTACCCGACACCGGTGAGCACGCTCAGGCGCACAGCGGCACAGCTGACCGTCTACACCTGGGGCGCGGGACCTGGAGCGTTGGGAAGGAGGCCCCGCAGGTGCAGGGCACAGGGCTAGGTGCGGGACTGACCCCAGAGACAGGCTAGTGCTGCAGTAATGGGTCGCCCCAGGGGAATTTCCTTGTGAGACAACTTCTCTGCCCTCCCCCTGGAGAATACTGCTGGTAATACATGGAGAGTCAGAAGAATTTTGTAAGAACCTCTGTGAGGGACTGGGGAGATGTTAGAGGGCTGGGATGCACGCTCTGCACACCGGAGCCCTGGTTTTCCCCCCTGGTAGCGCTGCCCACCACCAAGTCACCCCAGAACACTGCTCCAGGAGCAGCCTGAATCACCACTGGCTCTGGGTGCCTCACCCCCTCACCCAGTAATGCTCAGGGGTTATTCCCAGCTCAACTCTCAGAAATCACTCCTGGCGGTGCTCAGGGGACCATATGGGGTGCCAGGGATCAAACCTGAATCAGCTGCATGCAAAGCAAGTGCCCTCCCTGCTGTTCTGTCTCTCTGAAAAAGCCCAATTATATTTTTGTTGACTTAAATCTTTTTGACTATTTTGGGGGGCTTCCCAAGCAATGTTCAACTGAGTGACGTCTCTCAGTGATGCTTGGTCCAGCAGTATGACCTTGGCATTTGGGAGCTTGGACCTGGTGATGCAGTTTATCTTGAGTCCAGTGGTGCTGTGAGCTACCAGGGCACCACGGCCAGCTGTGGTCAGGGGCCACCAGCTGCCTGTGGCTGTGGGGTGGGGGCGCAGGATGCCGGGGGCTATGTGGAAAGTGAGCGTGTAGTTCCTTTGAGCTCTAGCCCTTGAAGATGGTTTCAGGAGTTGGGGGTTGTGACCAAAGAACCACCTTAGTAATTGTTACAGTGTCCATGAATTATCAGCAAAGTGATTTTCTTTTTTCCAGAAATGTTTGAATTCAGAATGTTCATGTTTGCAAATTAAATTTGTATTGAGTGAGTGAGTAAGGTCGTCCTCTTCAGTATATATCAAGGATCCTTAATCCATATTGGTTTTCCTCAAACACACACACACACACAACACACACACACACACCCTGTGTTTGCCCTTTGCTCTTTGGCATTCCCGTTGGGCACCGTGATTCACAGTGCCATTCACGGTGGACTTTGTCGCATGTTGAGTTCTGTTTGCTTTTTCTCACCTGTGAAATACCGTCACATCTTTCCCAGGCCCGGTGCCATTTCTGAGCTGCTGAGGGCTGGGCTGGGCTGGGCTGGGCAGAGATAACGGAGCTCCCTTTGCTTCTCCGCAGCACCAAAGACTTTCAAAGCGAAGGAGCTCTGGTCAAAGAGCGGAGCCGTGATCATGGCCGTGCGGAGGCCCGGCTGCTTCCTCTGCCGAGAGGTGAGTGCCCCTGAGGGCCAGGCCGAGCGGGGTCCCAGCAGACGGGGTCGCCCCTCTCCTCGCCAGGACCAAAGACTCGTGGGCCCACGTTAGCCTTTGATCAACAGCGGTCCATTCTCTGCTGTGTGGTCTGGGCCTTTTCTTTGGATCCATTCTGGGTCCCTGTTTATTAACAATACCGCATACCCTGGGCCGAGCAGGGACCGTGACTTCCCTTTGGGTACTCCCAACCCCTTTCACTCTTCTGTTTGCATCCTGGACAGTCTTTCCACTGTTTTGACTTAGGACCATACCCAGCGATGCTCAGGGGGTACTCCTGGCTCTGTGCTCAGGGGTCACTCTTGGTGAGCTCTGGAACCCGGATGCTGGGGATCACACCCGCGTCAGCTGCACACAAGACAGATATCCTATCCACTGTACTATGGCTCTGGCCCACAGTCCTCCCACTTACTCACGGACAGGGATCAGTTCCAGTTCTGTTCCTGATGTCCAGCACAAGAATTGGCTTATTGATCGGGAGTGTCTGGTTGTTCTGAAATGGGCCTGGCCAGCCCTTCCTGGGGTTCAGCCGCAGCACCTGAGGAGGTGCACAATTGCCATCTTAGAAGGGGCCCGCCTGTCTACCTCTTGAGGACGTACGTGGAGACCTTGGCAGAGTGCAGCAAGCCACCCATGTGAGCACTGTGGCCTCACTGTGAACGCGTATCCATGGGTCAGTAACCCAGTGTAGTCGGCCATGCTGATGGTGGTAATGGCAGGAGCGTTGGTCAGAACTTAAGTGACCGCCAGGTTGGCCCCTCAGGGGCAAGCCAAGGGATGATAGTGTCCAGCTTGTCACTTTATAGACAGGCAAGCTAGGGTAGGCACAGTTACATGGCCTGTCTGTGTCCAGGCAGGCGGCATTGGCCGAAGCCCCAGGTTCTGAGGACATTGTATTTTGGCGGGGAGCTGGTAGCATGCAGCTGCCGATCAGGGTTTTGTTTCTGGGCCACACCTGGCAGTGTGGAGGGCTCACTCTTGGCTCTGTGCTCAGGAATCACCCCTGGCAGGGCTCCGTGAACTGAAGGCTGTGCCAGGGATTGAACAAGGGTCAGCCACAGGCACGGCCAGCTCCGGAACTCCTGTACCGTCCCATAGCATGCAGGCCTTTTTCATTTTTAAGACAAGCAGTGGTTGGCCAACTCTTTCTCCTTGTTGAGTCACTGCCACAGACTCTTCTGCTTTCCTCTTTCACATTTATATGGACCCTTACAATTCTAGTTTGGAACCACCCTGATAAATCCAGAATAATCTCCTTTAAGCTCCGATGACTAGCAACCTAAACTGAACCAGGCTTTAATTTCCCTCTTGCCGCGTCGCAGAACTTCCCCGCAAGTTCTTGAGTGTCACATGTAGGGTGTCTTTAGAGGGTGTCAGACCTCCCGAGGGAGGTCAGGCCAGACCCAGGGCCTTCAGTTTCCAACATTTCCTAACACCCGCCTGGAAGCCTGTTGTGACTTGATTTCCCAAAGCCGTTTCCCAGAACGTCCCAAGAGCCAGTTTTCCAGTGCCCCGGTCTCTGCCCTGGCAGGGCATTGTGTGGAAACTTGCAAGCGTGGTTGGATGATGGCAGTCAAGAGTTATTTTGAGTGGCCCAGTATGTGACTCAGTTTCCACTTGAGGGCTTTGTGCCCTGACACACCCAGAGTAAAGAGCCTGGGAAAAGTGAGTAAAACCTTAGAGAGAGTTAGTGAGGGGCCAGGGCTGCGGCTCCATGGAAGCACGCACACCTGGCACGCGCAGGGTCTGGGTTCCATCCCTGCCAGTCCTGCATGCACGTCAGACCAGGAACCTTCCCCGCTCTAGGTCGCTGGTCAGCTCCAGCCTTGATAAATGCCGTAGGGATTCTGCTCAATCCAGTCCTTGGCTTGCTTGTTCTAGAAAGTGACATAATGGAGCTGTCACCCTGTGGCAGCGTGTTTGTATTGTGGCAGGTGGGCTGCCTTTGCACAGATTTCTTGCTCTTTTGTTTTTATTTTTTTCCCCCCTTTCATTCTGACACTCCGGGAAATAAGGATCTTGTTCCTAAGAGCAGGTCTTTTCCTGGTCCATCCGGTGCGCGGTCCTGTGGGTTGTGGAGTTTGACCGCCCCCTCTCTGTCACCGACCTGTGCCTTCAGACCTTCCCGCCTGGTGCCTTGTTTACCCAGCCACGTGCTCACCCCAAGATAGGAGGGAAAGAAGCTTCTCTCTAGCCGGGAGACCTATTAGGGAATGGAAAGAGACCGTATGAGACTCCGTGGCCACAGGCGGACTGCGTAGAGAATGTGGCCACGGAGGAAAGAGGGGGCGTGTGCCCCTGGAGCTGCCCTGTGGGCAGGGCTGGCCAGGGAGAATGGCGTCAACAAGACCCCGAGTCACACTTAGGGCTTGGCTAGAGAAGGAAGATGATTGTGGAGGGGACTCTACTAAGGAGGTCCGTGTTGGTGGGCTCAGTCTATAGTGGGGGGGGGGGGCAGTGCCTTGGCCAGGGGCGGGGAAGTTGGTGTCGTGGTGGGAACACGTACTGTCGGAATCTTACCTCTCCCTCCCACTGTGGAGAAGGTGAATGGGACCTTGGGGGCCTGTCTTGAAGCTTCGTGTCCTTCTGACCATGCGGCTGTCTCTGTTTCTGCCAGACTGCGGGCCTGGCTCCTCTGTACTCAGTAACGGCCACACTTGGGTTGCAGGATAGGGGTGTGTGGGGCGGTGTGGCCCTGAATTCCCCCTTTCCTCCTCAGGAGGCGGCAGACCTGTCCGCGCTGAAACCCAAGCTGGAGGAGCTGGGTGTGCCCCTCTATGCGGTGGTGAAGGAGCAGGTGAAGACGGAGGTGAAAGACTTCCAGCCGTACTTCAGTGGAGAAATCTTCCTGGATGAGCAGGTACCTGGGCGGGAGGGGAGAGGTGTCTGTGCGCCCCACACTGCTGGGGGGCTGTGTTCAGGTGTGGCAGGTCCTGGCCTGGAGCTGGAGTTCGGCCTCCCCTGCAGGACTCGGGGTTCTCACTTGAGCCCCTCCTGACTGAGAGCCTCAAAGCCGGCGTCAGCTTCCCCCACATTGTACGGGGTGGATGGGGAGGGGCAGCACCAACCCCTTTGCTTTAGGCGTTGTGACCCTGTTTCATTTTTTTATGTTTTGCTTTTTGGGTCACACCCAGCGATGCTCAGGAATCACTCCTGGCAGTGCTTGGGAGACCATATAGGACGCTGGGAATCGAACCCGGGTCGGCCGCGTGCAAGGCAAATGCCCTACCCGCTAATTATAATACCTCCTACCTATTGCTCTAGCCCCGTGACCCTGTTTCTTGCCCCTCTTCTCTCACCCGGGCACAGCGAAGGACTTCACCCCAGAGAGCTCTGGTCAGAGTCCAGAGAGGCAGATCCAACCTCCCAAGGTGGGATTTGTCCAGGGCTCAGGGACAGGACCTGGCTGGAGTCTCCATCTCCCGTGGTAGTAGGAGCTGCGGGGCAGGGGGCGGTGGGGGCCGAAGACACAGACCTGGACCCCACCCCCACCCCACAAGTCCCCCTCCCCCAGCCCCACAAGGCAGCCATGCACACTGCTCATCCAGGACCTGTCTTTCTCCCACAGAAAAAGTTCTTCGGTCCTCAGAAGCGCAAGATGATGCTTATGGGATTTGTCCGTCTGGGTGTCTGGTCTAACTTCTTCCGGGCCCGGAAGGGAGGCTTCTCTGGAAACCTGGAAGGGGAAGGCTTCATCCTTGGGGGAGTTTTTGTGGTAGGAGCAGGAGATCAGGTAAATGCCTAGCATCCACGTGTGGGGCTGTGGGTGTCTGGGTCTGTGGTCCACCTTGGGCATGGGGATGGTGGGTTTCTGCTCTTGGAAGCCTCCTTCATCCCAGAAGGCCGGGGAGCTCGAGGAAGGGAAGGAAGGGGAAAGTGTCATTTGTCACGCAGCTGCTCTTGGCCGCCCAGACTGTGTGGGGCCTCGAGCATCCTTGGACCATGCCAGCCCCTCCCACACTACAGGGCCGGCAACAGGACGCAGTCTCCAGGGCAAGGAGTGAGAGCCTGGAAACCCGTGGCCAGGAGTGATAGTCGTGCTCTGCCTTGGCCGATCTCACTTCCAACGTTGATGATCGCTTGTTTCCCCACCCTGGGGGGAGTGCAGGCTAGTGTGGCCGGGCAGCCTCACCTCCTAAGCATTATTCCTAATCGCTTCCTTGTAAACCTGGCACCTGAGCTGGGAGGAACAGTGCAGGGCGCTAAGATGCACGCCTTGTAGTTGACTGCAGCTGACTGCAGTTCGGTTCCTGGCACCACGTGTGTTCCCCTGAGAGTTGCAGGACAGAGCCCTGGAGGCTCCTGGTCACCACTGGCTGTGGCCCTGGAGCCCCCCCAGCACCACCAGGGTGGCCCAGGTAGTCCCCAGCACTCCCGTGCCCAGCCGGGAGTCATCCTGTAGACAGCAGTCCCCAGCCGTCCCGTGTCGTCAGGCATTGGCACTGAATTGGCAGCCTAGGTTGGCTGAGAATGGCCAGGAGAGGCTCCCAGCCTCCTGATCGTTGCTTGGGAGACATGCCCCCTCCCAAAAGACACCAAAAAGTCGTCCCCCAAAAAATCTTTTGGCATCCACTACCACTTGTTTGTATTAACTCCAGTGTGACTCGGTGTCCAGTATAACACAAGCCTATTCGCAGTGCCCGCGTCCTCCTCATCACCAGTGTGGGCTGTGGAGCATTACTCGCGCCCCTCCCACCCCCCCCCCACCCCCCGCCCCGTGCTGGGAGAAAGTCCTCACAACAGGACATACCCCAGCAGATACGCGGTGCCCTAGTCATCGAGTCAGGAGTCCAGCAGTGCCCTGTCCCAGAAACCCGGCCTGAGCTTCGCTTGCGGGGAGGTGCCCAGAGAGCGTCTCCCAAGGGGCTGCTGGCCGCCTCCCACTCACCACAAGGGGATGGGCCCTGCCCTCCCCCCAGCCTCCAGGCAGGGCTCGGCTTCCTTGCCAGCCTTCTCTTGCCTGCCATGAGTCACCTGGGGCTCACGGACTCCCCAAGCTCAGCTGGCTCCCACCTGGGGTTGCTAGGCGTGTCTTTGAGTTTGTTGGTACTCCCTGGAGTTCCCCCTGCTTTCCTCCTTGGGAGGCGGCTGACAGGGCTGCCCAAACCTGAGGACATGCCTCACCTTCCCCCTTTCCCGGGGGCAGAGTTTTTACAGTCCTCCCACATAAACGGCTGCTCAGTGGGGATTTCCCTGGAAATGGTGATGCTGAACACACATGCTTTCGGAGGCGTGTGCTTACACTGCAGAGAGTGGTAGAACAGGACAGTGGGAAATGGGGAGTCGTCCTGTCATCCTGTAGACAGACTTTATCTTGTTTTGTTTGGGGCCCCTACTGAGTGCTTGGGGACCGCTCCTGGTCAGTGGGCTCTGGGGACCATCAGGTGCCAAGGATTAAAACACCGCCCCCCCCGCCCCGCCCCCCAGGGCTCCTGCGCGCAAATCGTGTATCCAGCCTTTTGAGCCATTTCCCAGGCCTCTTATTTTATTTTTTACCACTTTAGGATACTCTGGGTCTCTTTTGTTTTGCTGAATTTTGCTTCAAGGTATCAGAAAGGGGGGTGGGGGGGGGTGTAAGGCCTTGCGCAGGGCCAGCCCAGGTTTGATTCCCCGGAACCCCATAAGGTTGCCCATGCTCCCCAAGCATTATCCCAGAGAGCCTGTAGAAAGCCCGGAGCTCAGCCCTGCCCCCCCCACCACCCCCCCCCAAAAAAAACTATCTGAAGTGAGTAGCCTCCAGTTTCCTAGGAAACCAGGGGTTGGTCATCTGATACCTGCCTAAGGCTGTTGTTACCTGAGCCCTGCTTCCCTGCCCTGGGGCTGTTCTCTGTGAGCTCTCTTTGTTCTCTTCAGCTGGAGTGCTCTTAAATCTGCACCTCTGCCTGGAGACTTTCTGGTTCCCCTCGAGGCTTTTTTTCAGCTCCAGAGCCTTCTGGGATGGATCACCCTATTGTGTCCAGTGACCCTTGTCTTTGTCCCCATGGTGCTTTCCAGCTGCCGTGCGCAGCCTTTCCCCAGAGGACCTGGGGAGGGGAGGGGGTAGCTGATGTGACCCAGAACTGAGCCGGACGTGCCTCTTGTTTCCTCTCTTAGGGCATTCTCCTTGAGCACCGGGAGAAGGAATTTGGAGACAAGGTAGACCCTGCTTCTATTCTGGAAGCCGTTCGGAAGATCAAACCATCAGGCTCGGAGCATAAGTGATGGAGTGCAGGGCCCAGCTCAGGGATAACCAAGGGCTAGTAGTGGGCTTCGGGAGACTTCCGCTCTCGGCACTAAAGCGGTCGAGACCCACCTAGACGATAGTCTCATCAGGCATCATTAACACGTTGTATCTGTTTAGGTGCCCAGCATGGCACAGTAGCCCCCAAACAAGACTGATGAAGATCCTGAGAAGCTTGTGAGGGTTATTACAGCCAAAACCTGGAAAATACACGGCATAAAGTTGAGTGTTGAATCTCATTACAAACATACATGGTGTTTGAGTGCTATTATTTGAAATGATTTTTATTTTCGTGTCTCCAGAAATCTAAGAAAGCTTAATGATTGTCTTTGAAGATTAAGATGTAAGGTTACTGACTTGTAAGTTTTTTATGACTAACTTGTGTGATATTGAAATGATACTGGTATAAAGGAACTGATGTCCACTTGATTACTTGACGATGGTAAATTATCAGCTGAGACCTCTATTCCTTGTCTCCCATGGGGTTTTTCTAGGAAAATGATCGTATCTTGCTCCAATGAAATGATGCCTCAGAAATGACCTGTAAATACAAGTTTTTCTGATAAAACTTGCAATAAAAATATTTACCACAATGAGGACTTGCTTTAAGTCATTGGTGCCCAAGATATAGAATGTGAAAAATCCTGTGTCTGGTGTGAGGGGGCGGAGGAGGCTAGTCCCTCTGGTTTGTAGTGCTTGGGTGAAGGAGAGTGGCTGAGGCGGGTGCGTGCAGCCAGGGCTAGTAGCCTAGAAGGAGGTGAGCCATCCAGGAAGAGGGGAGTCGGTGTTTACCCAGGAAGCAAGGTAAAAGATTGGAGACTAAGGTTAGAGGAGGATCTGGGGAGGTGGAATGCCAGATCTGAGTGGACAGTGTGTAGAAGGCTGCTCGGGACTAAGTCTAGGCTGGGCCTGGCTGGTGGTGGCTGCACAGCCCAGGCAGAGTCAGGCTTCTGCAGGCATGGAGATAAGACTTTTCAGTCTGTGGGCAGCCATCAGCATTGCTGTCTCTGTGCCAGTGGCTGTGGTCTCTCTTGGTCTGGTGCTACCCAGCCAAGCTCAGGTGAGATTTCTTTACTGCCCAAAAGACACTGAAACTGAACACTGAGGCGAAGGAGAGGCTGTGGGGCTGCTGCCTGGGTCTGCTTTTCGTGAGTCCCTTCAGTGCCCTGCCTGCCTGTTCAGGGCTATGTGTTACAAGGCACTGAGGGAATGATGCATCTTATAATTAATACTACCATCTGAAATTTCCTCAACCCCCCCTTTTTTAAAATTGATGTGGCATTAGTTTATGATTATTTAATGGTTTGGTTTCACATCTCTAATGTGAATGGGGTTCACTACACCCACCACTTGACAATAGGTCAGGAAAGTATGAGGTTCCCTAAGGCAGGGAATTGTATCTGCCAGTTGATTGAGTTAGGTTTCCATCCTCACACAGTTGGGGACCTGCAGCTGGTCTGTCTTGGTATCTCAAAGCAAGGGCTCCTGGTCCTTGGGAAAGACAGTTCTGCGTTGCAGAACACACAAAACACACACACACACACACACACACACACACACACACACACACACACACACACTCCTGAAGGACAAAAAAGGATTGATAGGTGATAGGTCCAGGACGTGACTCGAGTGGTCAAACCTTGCATATGGATGTCTTGAGTTTGATCCCTGGCACCTGGAGTGACCTCTGGCCCCCGAGAATGAATAGCTGTGTGGTCCCCAAAATAATTCAGAGAAAATAGAAAGTACAATTATGTTTGTTTCTTTTTGTTTTAAGCAAATGCTCTAAGCAAAGGGAGATCAGAGGCTTTATATCAACTTTTTGACTGGACCCCATGGAAACTTCCTTTGTAGCCTTCAGCTTTGTGGGACTGGGACTCCGAGGTGGCTGAGTCATCTCAGTAGCCTAGAGCTGCTAGAAGCTCGGCTCCAGTTGTTCAGGACTCAGTGTGGGTGTGTGTATGGACAAAAAGCATTTGTGTTGAGTGTGTTGAAAGTTCTGCAATTCTCAGAACTGGGGTGAGGATGATGTTTTCGCATTTCTGACAGGCTCTGGGTGGTCTTGATATCCTACTAGGCCGTGGATCGCATTCTAAGAAGCAATAATCTAGTTCTGCAGGATTCTTTAAATCAAAGGACATTCATCTTGAAACTCTGAACTTGAAGCTTTCAGACGCCTTGATAAACTCTGTTATCTTAGTTTTAAAAGTAACATTTAAAAACCACAAGAAATCTAAAACCAAACCTTTATACCTGGAAAGATGTGAGTGAGGGGTTTCACCGGAAAAAGACTTTCTTGTGGAGTAAATTTTTTTTTAACATGCAACCAAGAGTCCTAACAAGGACAGATACAAGTATCATCTTGGATGGATTGAGGCAGTGCTTGGAGTTGGGAGGGAAACTACTTGCACCAACTCTCAGTGGAATACTCGACAATTTACCTCAAGGTTTAACAACAACTATTGTTTAGAGATCCTGCTGTGTGGTAAAGAACAAGTAGGCATATACCTTCTTACTTATAGAATGTTGCCTGCTGCCTGAGTGAATGAGTGGAACTCCATTCGGTGGCTTCACACTGTGGGCCTGGCATATAGGTCAGTGGTGGAGCACTTGCCTTGAGTGTGCTGGGATTTGATTTTTGGTGCTGCATGGTCTATTAAGCACTCCCAGGAACAACTCCCAAGCACCAAGATGAGAGTAGTCCCTTGGGTTTCACTGTATCACTGTCATCCCATTTTTCATCAATTTCCTCAAGCAAGCACCAGTAACGTCTCTATTTATCCTAGTCCTGAGATTTTAGCAAATGCCACATTGGAGGCTCTTTCAGGGTCAGGGGAACGAGACCCATCATTGTTACTGGGTTTTGGCATATCGAATACACCACCGGGAGCTTGCCAGACTCTGCCGCACGGGCAGGATACTCTCAGTAGCCTGCCAAGTTTTTGAAGCGAGAACTAGACAATAAGAGTTCCGGGAGCTTGGTTTTATAGTCTGGGTCTTGGCCGTTGATAGGATTACTCGGTGCCAGGGGCAGTTGGTGGGTCTAACACTTAGCTACTGGAAAATGGGGGATCTGGGTGGAGGAGGCCCAGTCCCAATCCGAGCAGGCTTGGAGGTCTCAGCCCCAGGTCCTGCACACCTGGGTTCCTCTGCCAGTTCCTTCATGTGTGAGTCTCGCCTGAACATGTGGAGAGTGGTCTTAAGCATGTGAAGAGTGGTCTTAAGCATGGTTGTGGCTGGTTCTGGAGGTCTTTAGCTGGCGGGCCTCTGCTTGGAAGCTCAACCCACCCCCCTCCAAGGGGCCACTGATGAGGACAGCCAGGCGCGGGGGCAGGAGACTCTGCGTTGTTTTCTTCTGGAAGCTCAGTTTTATAGTCTCTGGGTCTTGGCCGTTGATAGGATTACACAGTGCCAGGGGCAGTTGGTGGGTGTAACGCCTAGCTACTGGAAGATGGCGGATCTGGGTGGAGGAGACCCAGTCCCGATCTGAGCAGGCTTGGAGATCTCAGGAGCAACTCCCAGGCACCAAGATGAGAGTAGTCCCTTGGCATAGCCCCCCATAAAACAAAACGGAACCCCAAAGAATATTGCTGCCTAGATCAGATCCTAGGGGATGTTTCCAGATATCAGCGTGGGGTTTTTTTTTTTTTGTTTATTTTTTGCTTTTTTTGGGTCACACCTGGAGATGCACAGGGGTTACTCCTGGTTCTGCACTCAGGAATCACCCCTGGCAGTGCTCAGGGGACCATATGGGATGCTGGGAATCGAACCCGGGTTGGCTGCGTGCAAGGCAAACGCCCTACCTGCTGTGCTATTGCTCCAGCCCCCTATCAGTGTTTTTCAAAGCTCCTTTTAGTATGTAGGAAAAGTACAAGTCAGTGCTTTCCATTGAGAAGCAAATAGAAGCCTTAAAGAAATACAAGCAGTGTTCCCATTTTATAACTCAGCTGTGATCAGAGTTATCAGTGTTGGAGTTAAGCAAGAAACACCCATGGTCTAATTTCCCTGCCAGGAAGTTAAGCCAGGAAACATGAAGTAACTCTCCCGGGAGGCAGTTGAACCCAGACCCTGGTCTCCTAATAACTCAAAGACCTTCTGGAGAAACGACTACAAAATGAATCTAAAACATTCTGTCATACCAGATGTGAGGCAAGTCCTCAAAGACCAGTGAATGTTTCTAGAAAGGACTCAGGATTCACTGTGAAGAGGATCTTTTACTGAGCAAGTCTAATTGTGATGGATTAAAATACAACAGCAAGGGGGCCGGATAGATAGTACCAGGGGCAGAGCACCTGACTGGCATGCAACTGGCCCAAGTTCAATTCCTGGCACCCCATCTGGTCCCCTGAGTACTTCTAGGAGTGATCCCTGTCACAGGATCAGGGAAAAGCACTTAGCACAGCTCGCTATGGCCCAAAAACCAAATAAACATCAGAAAGGTTTAAATCCACGAGCCTTAAAATAATACTTAAGGAACCAGAACTAGAGTACGGGGTTAAGGCGCTTACCTCGCAGCGAACAGAGATTCCATCCTTGTCATTGCATATAGTCCCCCAAGTATCAACTACCCCTGAGCACTGCCAGATGTCACCTCCCTTCCAAAATAACATCTGGATGCACACCCCCCACTTGTTGGGGTCAGGAAGGAAAACAACAATCTAATGTCTTGGACCCTTGGGCCCAAAGTTGTGAAGAATCATTTTTGATAGAGGGAAGAGATGGGAAGGAACGTTCATAACTGGAGGAGCCATTTCTTCCTCCTTTGAACCTGCTCGCAGCTGTGTGTTGTAGGGGCTCTTATGGATTTGGCAACCACAGACTTAACTGTTCCTTCATTAGGCTCAAACCTGGAGTCCAGATCTCTGACCATGTCTGATGCTGCTGTTTGTGGATTATAATAAAGAAAAAAAAGAAAATGTTAGTCTTACTCTCCCTAGTTTGCTTTGTACCCAACACAGACCTAGCCCACATAAGTAAACAGTTAGATAGAAAAAAAAAAAACAACCAGGCAATGTCAAGTGACCAACTGGGAAAAAAATATTTGCAAGTCATGCCACAGAGGGGTAGTTTTCTAAAGACCAGCTCCTACAAGCCCAGTCAAGGTAAAAATGTGGCTTCCTGGTTTGCAGAGCCACTTATTTTGGTGTTTTGAAAATGAACACCCTATCCTAACAATGAGAGAACATCTGAACAAACTGGAAAATCCATGGCTTAGCTCTGTAAGAAAAGTGCAGACATTTGTCTTCCAAACTGGAGTGACCCACAGGTGATTACAGAGAAACCACAAGTAACTGA